AGACAAAACCAGGGCGCTACAGGAATCGGATGATGAAGAAAGCGGTAGCGATGAATAATGTATATAAGATAAACGTTCTGGTTTAAAATTATTTTAAATAAATTGTGACAAAATAATAAATATAAGTAAATATAATTTCGTTTCATTTTCATGACGTCCTATATTATTAAATCTAACGCACAAATTCTTAAAAGAATTGGTGTGGAGAGTTACTACTATCGAAAAAAGGCGTCACAGTGACCTTTGAAGTGACATATTGAGTGTGATAATTTCCGTCGAACCGACCCTAATGTATTTCAACTTAATTTTTGACAGAATTATCATATTGTCATTTGTAAGGTTACTGTGACGCTGTTTTTTTTTCTACAAAGGTCCAGAAATGTATATACTAAGAAAAATACTCCACTACATGGTATAATTTCTACCTATTATTATTATGGTAAAATCAGACGTATAAAAACTACGTAGATAAAAAAAACGTAAACCAACTGAGAGATAAATATACTAGCTACTCATTTATCACACAATTTAATACAATAAAAAATTCTATAAATAATCTACATCTATTAGACTTAATTATAATTAAGATCACGAAATTAAAAAATATATATACCAAAAAATACATACCGAGTATTTTCTTAATTATTTTAATGTATACTATTTCTTATCAGTTAAAATAAGTATAAATATAAATAAACTTTAATACGAAGTCGTATTTTTAATTGAACTTCACCATATTTTTCAGTTATCAATTGTTTAAGGAACTGTACCATACAACAGAAAAAACGGTGTTACCGTAGCCTTTGAAATAGTTTTTAGTTTTTTAAATGTACTTTCCGACAAAAACGTTAAAATCCGGAATTTGTCATTCAAAAGCTACTGTGACACCATTTTTTTCGATCATAGGTGATTTGACAAATAAAAAAATACCACGAAATTCTTATTTTCAACTGTTCATTTTTCTTGAAACTCGAATTTAAACAAAGTACATCAAAGTTCTATAGTTTTTTTATGGTTACACTCTATATACATACTATTAAAACTCCATAGATGGCGGTTCTGTCTTCTGTTTATGTTGCGTCTTCATGTGAGTATACAGGGTACCGCTTTGCGAGTACGACTGGTGGCATATCTTGCAAGTGTACGGTTTTTCCCCGGTATGGCGTCTCATGTGAGTGGTTAAAACGTCTTTTCTGGCAAAACTTTCGCCGCACTGCGTACAACGGTACGGTTTTTCGCCGCTGTGCATCCTCATGTGTATTTTTAACTTATTACTGGCAGAGAATCTGCAAAAATACAATATACACGGCGGTACTTAAAGAGCTGCATATACACGGTACCCCTCATACGAATGCACAATAAAAATTGTATGCAACTTCGGTAAAAGGGTGTATGATTTCTGAAGAAAAGTTTGTATGAAACTGCGGGTGAAAGTGTGTATGAAACTTATGAAACTTCAGGTGAAGGTGTATGAAACTTCGTGTGAAAGTGTAAGAAACTTCGTGTGAAAGAGTGTATGAAACTTGGAAAGCTTCGGGTGAGTACGAAACTTCGTGTGAAAGTGTGTACGAAACTTATACAACATCAGGTGAAAGTGTAAGAAACTTCGGGTGAAAGTGTATGAAACTTCGTGTAAAAAAAAGCATGTGCCCAAAACTTCAGGTGGGAAAGTAAGAAACTTCGTGTGAAATAGTATGAAACTTCGTGTGAAAAAAAAGTATGTATATAAAACTTCGTGTGAAAGAATGTATGAAACTTCGTGTGAAAAAAAGCATGTGCCCAAAACTTCGGGTGGGAAAGTAAGAAACTTCGTGTGAAAGAGTATGAATCTTCGTGTGAAAAAAAAGTATGTATATAAAACTTCGTGTGAAAGAGTGTATGAAACCTTGAGTGAGAGTGTATATGAAACTTGGAAAACTTTGTGTGAAAGTGTATGAAACTTCGTGTGAAAATGTGTATGAAACTTACGAAACTTTGGGTGAGTGTATGAAATTAGTTAAACAATGTTAAACTCTAATTATTTTTATTCAACTTACCTTTTAGCACAAAGGCTGCACACATACGGTTTTTCCCCTGTATGCGACCTTTTGTGACTTATCAAATTACTGGCCTGGAAGAAAGCCTTTTCACACATATCACACTGATAAGGTTTAACTCCTGTGTGTCTTCGCATGTGTATCCTTAAAGCTGTAGGCGCTGAAAATTTGCTATCGCACACTGTGCATGAGAATGGTTTCTCACCTTAAAAGAAAATGTTAACAAAACGATGGGTAAATGTTTTTTTTAATAATACCTGTGTGAATGTTTAAATGAACTTTTAAGCCATGCTTTTCGCCAAAAGCCTTTCCACAAGTACTGCACAAAAAAGGCTTCTCTTTAGTATGGGTTCTTTGATGAGATATTAGGTTTGCTTTAAACTTGAACATTTTATTGCATATCTCACAAGGGAATCTCGGCAAAACTTCTTTTGCGCTCTTTGATTTCTGGAAAATCAAATAATTAGTGATCCAGATAGAGTTATTAAGAAGAATTTACCTTATATTTGTAAGGGCGTTGTCCTGTATGGGTCCAAATGTGTTTTTTAAGTGTATCCCTAACAGCAAAACACCTTTTACAGTGTGGACAGACATAAGGCTTTTCACCACTATGTGTACGAAAATGAATTTTTAATTTACCACTATGGTTAAATCTGGAAGAAAATAAAAATGCAAATAAACGGAATCTATATACGAAAATCAATGGGTTAGCGTGTGTATGAAACATCGGGTGAATGTTTGCATAAAACTTCGGATGAAAACTTTGTATGAAAGTATTAATGAAACTTCGGGTGAAAGTGAGTAATGAAACTTCGGATGAAAGTTTAATAAAACTTTGAGTGAAAACTTCGTGTGAAAGTGTATGAAACTTCGTGTGAAACTTTGTACAAAATTTCGGTAGTCTGTATGAAACTTTGTGTGAAGATTTGTAAGAAACTTCGGGTGAAAACTTCGTGTGTGTGTATGAAATGAGAGAAAGTTTGTATGAAAATTCGTGTGAATGTTTAAAGAAACTTCACGTGAAAGTTTGCATAAAACTTGGGGTGAAAGTTTGTAACTTTAGATGTTTCTATGAAACATTGTGTAAAACTTTGTATGAAAACTTGTATCACCGCTGGCTTTAGAAGCATAAAAAATTGTACAAAAGTTCTTTTAAATGATAAATAGAGCAACAAAGTAATTTCTGTACATTCATTCTGATAATGAGTGAAATGGGGATAAGAGTTTGTAAAAAAATTAATTACTACCTAGTCTAGAAGTACGAAATTTTGCATAAACGTTCTCGGAGTCACATCAGTAAAAAGGACAATTAATTTATTATATTATTCAAACAAAAAAAAAATACATTTGATGCTGTTTTACATAAACATAACTGCTAGAAAAATAAAATATTAGTTTTTTGACAATATTAAGCACTTGGGATGCAGGATAAATCTAGTATATTATAAATTGACAAAATAGGTACTTACCTTTTTTTACACACTTCACACTCATAAGGTTTCTCCCCCGTATGAGTTCGTTCATGTTGAATCAAATTAGCTGCTTGTCTAAATTCTTTCCCACACTCCTTGCAAGAATAGGGCTTTTCCCCAGTGTGCACCCTGACGTGTACATTCAAAGCTCCTTGTGTTTTGAAACTGGATTCGCAGAAGTTACATATGTATGGCTTTTCCTCTACAATTTATACAATGTATAAACACAAAAAAACACGTAAAAAACATACCTGAATGGGAAAGAGCATGACTTTTCAAACCATATTTATCTGCAAAACCCTTTCCACATTTAGTACAAAGGTATGGTCGGTCTTTCAAATGCATTTGCTGGTGGAGTTTAAGTTGTTTTTTATATTTAAACGTTTTACTGCATCGTTTACAACTATATTCCAGAACAAAATCATCATCATCAGAATCATCATCCTCACTTGAGTTATCAATATTATCGTTTCCAAACTCATTGTCATTGTTCTCACTTGAATTATCAACATTATCGTTTCCAAACCCATTATCCCCCTAAAAAACTATAAGTTTCAAATGTTATATATAAATATGTAGGTTAACTACTTGATATGACCCATCTGAATCATCATTATTATCATTCTTTATATCAACCAGTTCATCTAGATCCGTAATTGTTTTCTAGAAAAATAAATAAGTTTTAAGACAACCAAATTATTTAAACAGATGCCTTACAGTATCAGGTTCTATCTCATTAGAGTTCCTGCTTCTTAAACTCCGTCTTCTTGTTAAATTCTCCTCATTATTTTCAATTTTTTTTGTTTCATTTTTCAAACATTTGTGTTTATCCAAGTTTTTTGGAACTTGAAATGTTTACTACAAATATTGCAAACATATCTTAACTTCTTTTTGGTTTTCTTATGGTCATTAGTTCTGTCTTTAAGAGTATTTCTTATATCATTCTAGAAATTGAAAATAAATAATAGTTAATAAACCAAGTGAGTTTTATAAGAAATGCAAGTTTGTATCACCTATATTATGGTTTATAATATAACTTACACCTAAATCTGATGATTTTACATCTGTTTCGTAGTTTAAATCATACTGCTCTATTTTCTGAAGCCCTCCTTCTAGTTTTATATCAGACGAATCTGAAATATCTCGTAATACTTTGTTGGCATTCTCACAAATTTCTTTAAACTTAACTATGCTAACAATTTGAAGCTCGCAATTTGTACAAATATTTTCTGGTAAGCCATCATCCTTCATAATCTGTTCAATTCAGAAATAAGATAGATCATTTAGAAACGGCAAATACCAAAAAACTTACAGTCAACGAAGTAAAGTTCATGATAGCATCACGAAAAGTTGAACAACCGCAATATTTATCAGCTCCTAAATCGTCAAAAACTGATATAGAAGGTTCCTGCGAAAGACATGTCCTACATAATGATTTATGATCCATATCTTCTAATTTATAATCGGTCTTTATTATCAGATTAAAAGAACTATAGTTTTTGTTTTCTAAATATTCTTTGTTTACAATCCATGGATTCTCCATGTAACAAAACAACTTTCAATCTCGTTGGGTTAGTATGTTCTCTTCTTTAAAAAAATTCGGCCTTATGTATATTCATATATAAAATGTGTCATTTTTTATATGATGTAAAATAGTTAGGTTTTGAGGCCACAGTTGCTAGAGCTATCTGAGCGTTTAAATGTTGCTAAGTTTTTTAGTTTTACAGCAATAGCTGCCAGGGCTATCTTGTGTGTGCACTAAAGGCATGTGGCCATATTTCGGATGAAGAAGAAGAAAGTGACAACTCTGTTATAGTTGTCAAAACAGTATCATCGAAATCGAACTGTCAACTGTCAGCGACATTTTGTTTCTTGTTGCATGTTCTTTACGTTTTATTAGTGAAATAGTTAATTTAATTATAACAATATGGGTAGATCTCGTTCAAGAAGCAGAACTCCAAAGAAACACCATAAAAGTAAACATCACAAAAGGAGCAAGTCCAGGGATCGATCCGAACGAAGTGTTAGTATACATAAACGACACAAAAGCTCCGAACGTTCGGATAGAATCAAAGAAAAAATCATGAAAATCAGGTAAGTGTGTTTATTTTTAGAGCGTATCGTTTCATACTAGTATGTTTTATTGTAATTTAGGAAAAGAAGTGATTCACAATCATCATCCTCAAGTAGCAACGCGTCTATAGATAGAGTGGACAGACGTAAACATAAATATAAAAAGATGGACGAGGTCGAGCGACTGGCAGAAATGGAGAGACAGAGACGACAGAGGGAGGCTGAAGAGCGACTCGTTGAGGAAAAAGCGGCCAAAAGGATAGAGGAACTGGTCAAGAAACGTGTGGAAGAGGAACTGAGCAAACGAAGGGACGAAATCGAAAAAGAGGTAGCCAAGCGGGTGGAAGAGGCCAAGAGAATCATGGAGAAGCAAATGATGGAAGACCTGGAACGACGGCGCGAGAAACAGAGGGAAGAAGAAAGAAGAAGAGAGGTAAGAGCAAATTCCAGACATTTTATAAGTTTAGAATATTTTTTTGTTATGATCTGATGATTAAATTCTATTATTCTCTTTTGTATATTGTTAATATAGATAACTTTTTTGCGGACATCCGAGTTTTTTTTCCAAATCAGGAAAGTTTTTCGTAAGTTTCAGAAATTATAGATTGTAAACTGATTTTTTTCCTTTGTTTTTGTTCCCTTTTCTTGTATAGGTGTAAAATTATCCCGAAAATAAACGCGTTTTCAAAATTTTTCATGTATTTCCTAATTGTAGAAGATGTATTTTTAAATTTAAGAAAGTAAAATGCAGGAAATATTTACCCCAAGCAATATTTCAAAACGAATTCAAGAAAAAAAAAAATGTTTGTGAAATTGAAAAATTGGTTTTTAATTATAAATAGAAGCGCATCAAATGGAATTTCTATTTTCTACTTGATCATGGAATTCAAGTTCATATACAGAATGATTTAACTTTAACACCAGCATCAGTATATTTTAAATATTTTGTTTAGTAACAAGAGTTTTAAACATGTACTTGTTTTAAACCTTTAAAAAAATATATTTATTGAATTATAAGAAATGTCTATACCTCTGTGTCAGATTCATCTCTTCAAAAAAATCCTATGGGTGTTTTGCTACTGTAAGAACGTTGCCACGTAAAGGAAATAACACCTGGCCTTATTAACGCCCATGCACGCTATTCGGTTTAGCGATATCTCTCTATTACACCGTTTATTGTTATTTTACGCGAGTTTATTTTTGCGCACAGGAAATTTTACTCGTGCACATCGTCATAAAAAAACAATTTTCGTACCACGAATTAGGGACAAGGTTTTAATCTGTAAACTTATCTACTAGGATACCTAATCTGTGACTATACTACCTATTCAAGATCACTTTAGTTTTTTTTCATCAGATACATCAACGGTTTTTATAGGCGTATCTGTTGAAAAAGTGTTCTTGAATAGTTTTTTTTAGGCAAAATACCTATAGGACTTTTTTGGCTTTTAATATGTTGTCTGGAGTAGGCGACGCCTCTTTGCTTGCATTATAAGCACGCCACTGTATTATATAACCCGAAATCCATGATCGAGTAGGAAATGGGCGTGTCCTCTTGAGGCGATGTTGCCAGCTTGTGCAATATTATTGTTTTGGCTGGGGTAATTTTGTAACATTTTGCTGTCTGGCGTATGGACGTGATTTTCGAATGCAAAGCAGGTAGCATGTAGATCTGACACCGTCTCTACATAAAATTTCCTCTCAAGTTATGTTGTAAATTATATGCCGTTAGCTGGTTATAAAGCTAAAGTGCGGCCATCCAAGCGAACCGAGTACTCATCACGGCAACGACGTACGGTGGTGGACACCTCATCGTAGCAGGTATTATCAAACCTTTTTTTTATATATACAGGGCGATTCACGTTCATGGTTCGTTAGGCGTTTATGGAGAAGCGGTGATAGGATTTTTCTGAAAATTTGGATTTTTCCATAGAGTCACTTGCTTCATCTGTCTAAATTATTTTCAGCGTTACAATGTTGCCGCATCATTTGAAAAGTGGTAGCCAAAAAAATGGTGGTACATCCGGTACCTACCGGTTGCGTCCCAAAAGTGGCTCACCCCTATAAGTTTTTTATTTTTTCAGATAAAAAAAAACAAGATTTCGTATGTTAGTATACAACATAAATTGGGATTGATTGACGCATTCAATTGTTTTTGCTCACTTCCTGTTTCACCGGAAATGACTACAATTTTTGATTTTTAAACGGCACCCCCGGTATTTTTTTACTTTATTCGATAGAAAATGATATTCTGAATAGAATGACGTATCATATGTCAACTTTTGCATTCTCAATGGTCGCCTAATGTTTTTAGTGTCTTGTTCTGGCCGGTTAAAAAATGCCCAAATCGCATTTTTAATCATATCTCATTTTTTTCAAATGGAACGAGGGTGACTCATTGTCACATTTGAAAAAAACATTTTTTACGAATAATTTGATACCACACACTTGGTATTTCTAGTCAAATTTTCATAACGAACGGCAAGTTATAAATTCAAATAATAAATAATAATAAATAATAATAATAATATAAACCATATGCGAAAATGTCAAAAGTTGACTATGACATGTCATTCTATTCAGAGTGTTATTCTCTATCAAATAAAGTAAAAAATACTAAGGGTGCCATTTCAAAATCAAAAGTTGTAGTCATTTCCTGTGAAACAGGAAGTGACCGAAAACGATTGAATACGCCAATCAATCCTAATTTATGTCATATACTAACACACCAAATCTCGTTTAATTAACTAAAAAAATAAAAAAGTTATATTGGTGAGCCACTTTTGAGACCCACCCGGTATATATATGTTTATTATTACAATTTTGGAAACTATTTTCGTATTCCATAATTTTTTTATAATACGAACTTTTCTTATGAAAATAGTTTCCAAAAATGTAATAATATACCGGGTGTTCCATTTAAAATAACAAAAGGGCTACTATTTTTAAAATGATCCGGTAACATTGTAACGCTGAAAATATGTTAGATAGATCAAGTAGCTGCCTTTATGTAAAAATCCAAATTCTCAAAAATATTCTATAACCGGTTCCCCCATAAACGTCTAACCTACCATCGCCGTGAATCACCCTATATACTCATATATTTATATATTTTATTTTTACCCCGCAGAGGTTTACATACCTCTAGACTATTTTTTTCATTCACTGTTATTAGTTGGTCTGAACCTGGCTGTTGTTTGTCGATTTTATATCGTACTATAGTAAATATTTGGAGTTTATTGTTGCAGACAATTTTTATATACAGGGTGTAAATTGATTAGTCTGGGAGCTAGCCTACATCAGTTATTAATTAAAAAATATAAGCAACTACCCATTTACAACCTGCAAAGTCTAGGGAGCATTACCAAAAATTGTCTTTTAATATAAATATTAATATTAGCGAATTAGTAAAGTAAATATTTAGTAAAAATTTTAGGAAACAAAAATAAATTAATTATAAATATAAAAAAAAAGTTATTATTTACATCAACACAACTCACCTACTTAACAGAACTTAAGGGATATAAAGCGCCATTACTACCGCTTTACCGGTCAAAATATTATAATAAAGATGCGATGAGTTTTTTATGGCTATTAAGCTATCTTGTACACTTCGCACTAAAAGGAGTTCTAAAAAGAACAATGTTCGACTGCAAGGCCTGCTAGTAAATTTTTTTAAGCTCAAAGTATCACAACACAATTCATTTAAACCAAAAACTCGTAAAGTGTCAAAACGAACTGAAAATGTCAGGAAATAAAAGTGGCAACTTGACATTTTTTTACAGCAGAGCTACCGCCTGAATCCCCAGCGGGAAATTTAAGTTCCAGTTAGTAAGTATGTTGTTGAATTTTTAAGTCTCAGTAAATTTAGACATATTTTATCGGCCAACTGATAATTTGCTTAAAAAACTCCAAATATATACTACCAGGTATTGCATTTGTAAAATTAACACTAACAAAACATAAAAGATTTTATTTAATTTATAGAAGTAGAGTATTTTAATTTTGCAAAATGGAATACGGCCCCTTTTTGTTCTATCGTTCCATTTTCAATAGAGCTGCTAACATCAATTTAACGTGAAAAAAATTGAAAATGGAATTGTAGGTGCGGCGTACCATAGCCGGGTAGGACTAGAATCGTCCGGTACTAACGTGTTAACTTCATTTCCTGTTTTATAGGAGGAAGAGCGGATAAAGCACGAGGAGGTGCAGCGAATTTTAGAAGAGAACCAGCGCAAAATAGAGGAGGCTCAGAAAAAATTGGTGAGTACCATGTAATTGTAAATGTATAAAAAATAGTGATAAGCTCATCACTAAGAAAAACCCATAAAAGTTGTTGTGCACGTCATCAAAATACCGTATGATCAAAAAAAAAACGGCGTCCAGTTGGCTGGGAAATGACGATCGATGACATTTCCCATATAAATTTACATATAAAATGACAGCGATCTTTATTTCATAGCCATCGTTGACGCCGTTTTTTCTCGATCATACGGTATTTGACGAATACACGTCGCAATGTTGCCACTGCCACTTTTTTTTACTTTGACTTTTGACAGGTGTCAAATACATATTTAATTTTGTCACTGATTGTCCACTTCAATATGGGACACGATATATTCTATAAAATTAATAACTTTGAATTTTGACCGTTATTTTTTACCAACATGGCAAATATAAAATCCCTCTATCAAAAAAGTTACTGATATTCTTTAAATTGAGTGCCTGAACGAATCAGATAGGAAACTCTTTTTACTTTCGTGAAATAGAAAAGGAAAATAATAAAACAAGTGACAGTTCTTCCTCTTCTTGCAAAAATCAACACGAAATGTCATAATTGTCAAAAGCAAAATGTCATCAGCTTTTGACATTTCTAAATATCAGACCAATGCCGTCTCTAATAGAACAGCCTCGGAGCGAGATTTATGACGTCACGCTAGTTAGATACTACGGATTAATAAATATGTTGTAGAATACATGGAAAACATAATTATTCCTCGTATTTTTGGTTTGTATTTTAAAAATGATATAGTTTACATGAAATATACATAAGATACAGTTAATAAATACAATATAATATATACCTATTTATAGTAATAAATACTTTGGCAAATAAACTATGAACCATACAAATGCAGCAAATGTTTTACAACATACAAATAATGAATAGGTACATAAGATAATGGGTAAAATGTAAAATATATTTTAAATTTTGGGGTTTGAAAATCGATCTAATTTAACAAAAAAACATTCAATATCTACTAATAGTGATGTATTGTTATTAATGTTCAAAAAATTATATTTGCAAATAATACAATATCATAGAAAAAAAGGCGTCAGCGATGGCTATGAAATAATGATCGCTGTCATTTTATATGTAAAATTATTCTAAAATTTTTAATTTCCTGGGGATTTAGGTTTGGGAAAAACGCTGATTAAGTTTTCATTTGGTTTTTCATTCTTTTTATTTGGTTTAAAAAAAACGTTTTGGCACATTATATCCTTTATCAGTGTTGTGTCATATGAAAAAAATAGTGTCGTAATACAAAACTAAAGTGTCAAAACGAATGACAGTGTCAGGAAATAAATAAATAAATGCGGCAACTTGACATTTTTTACAACAGAGCTACTACCTGAATCCCCAGCGCGAAATTTAGACTCCAGTTAGTCAACCCGGCGCCGAATATGGTTGACAACAATGAATTTAAAAATCGCGCCCTTGATTACGTAACTAAAAGTTGAATTGGTATCAAATATATACAAATATCCTTTTATATCTCTACATTATTACTTTGTCAATGATTATTACAAAAACAAATTCTGATAAAATGAAGTAAAACAAGAAATAAAAATCAAATTGAAAATGACAAATGTCATATTTGCAAAGACAAATCTCATGACAACCGGCAACGTTTGCCATGACTACCAACATAAAGCCTTTTTTATGGGCCTACGTGATGCGTGCTGTCATTTTTAACCAGGATATAAAGGAGATAGATATTTGATTTTGATTTGATATTGATTTTGACGTCTTTCATGACGTGACACCAGCTTTTATTTCGATTGATTTCCCTCTAGTCTCTAAAGGAGTACTGTAAAAATAGTATTTGACTCTTTTTCTTTTTAGTTTTTTAATTCTTTGGTCTAAAGCATTTAAACCTTTTATATAAGCCAGCTTTTGACCAAATTTTCTTTATGTAGGATGAAGAAAGACTGGCGATGGTGGAAGAACAGCGAAAAATAGACGAAGAGCGTAGAAGACTGGAGAAAGAACAGGAAAAACGGACTAAAGAAGAACAGAAGAAGATCTTGGGAAAGAACAATTCGAGACCCAAGTTGTCGTTTTCGTTAAAACCGGTGTTGTAGTGATAGTGTGTTTTTTACAGTGCTGGTGATAAAAACATTTAAAGGTTCTTTTTAATCTAAAATAGACTTCCATACGAACTTAAGAAATTTAAATCAAATTTTATTTAGGGATATTTATACAGATAAGATGTATATATTGATTAATAAAACATTTTTGTATATACTTTTTATTTTTTTCTTTAGGTTGAGACTTTAGTTTCCGAGATTTCAGTGATGGGGCCAAATTTTGGGACACCCTGTATAATCAAAAGTGATCCCGCTTGAGCATCGAAAGCGAATGAAATCTCAGTGGGTGTCTTTTAAGACATACAAAAAAAAAATGCATATATTTTATCGTTGATTCTTTAGTGATGCTTTCGATGATGCTTAACGTTTTTGACGATGATGATTTGATAAGTTTTCAACACAAAAATAAACTTCTTTTATTTAGGAATATTTATATTGACAAACTAGTTATATAATATTGATTTTAATAAAACATTTTTATTTTTTTATGTGTTTTTTCTTAAATCTGGTATAATCACAGAATATTCAGAGCTCTCTTCTGCTAGCGTGATTTGGTAAAGGGATTGTATCTCAGAGTTGGTTTGGGTGCTTATGTTGATGTCAGCCATTGATCTGACCTCTATGGACTGTTCTTTACAAGTTGTCCGCCTAAAAAATAGAATGCTGTAACAAAAATTGTTTTTTTCCATAGCAACTGTTAAAATTGCCTTGATATCTATCAAAAATAGTAGATAAAATAGTACTTTAACCGAAAGGGTCCTTTATAAAAAATAACTATTAGTCATTTTAAAATTTTAATTTTGACATTGATCGATGCCCACCAATAAAATTATAGCGCCAAATCAAATGACGATGACAACTACTAATAATAATATGCAGTAATTTACGAAATGCTGTAATGATCTCACCAATCCCTTCCATCTGGTTGTCAAATATGACGTGACGTTAAACGATGGCTGAAAATTCTATACCTGCACTGCTTTGTTTGGAAATGTTGGTAAGTTCCGACCACTGATGCGACGTCACACAAATAAGTCAATTGACGTATCTTAACTTACCTTTTGTGCTTTTCATATTTGATTATTTTAAGCAGGTTCTTCAAAGCGTTCTTCATATTTTCACCGGTGTGCAGTAGAGCTTTACTGGGATCGAGTTGCTTAAAGCTATTCCGTTCGGAGTGACTACTAGTTTTTGCGGCTACGTCACAGAAGTCTTCCGTTAGCGGAGACCCGGTGACCTCGAACTGAGCCTTCGCGTTCACTTTTTGGTATTCCAGTTTGTCCTTGTACACAAGTTCGAAGTTGCCTGTATCGGCCCTGTTGTTTCTTGCATTGTCAACGACCACTGAAAATAAAATATTATACAGGGTAAAATTAAAGATATACTGGGATCAAAATCGCGTAGTCTATGTACCTTTGATGACGTCTTCTAGTACGTCCGGGCACATTCTAGACATCAACGGTGTGGAGGCGTGCAGGGCTGGGTTAGAGTTGATTTCTAGCAGCCAGGGTTGGAATGATTCTGTCAGCATAAAGTCTGCCCCGTAGAGTTCAAAACAATTTTTTCTTTTGTCAATTTTGTCTCTGTGAGCTATCATGGCCGCAGTGATGCATTCTTTCATTCCGGGGTATATTACATTTTCGTAGATGTCGGGGTAGCCGATATTTGACAGATAATTCTAATAAAAGAAAAAAAAACTTTGGTTCAGAGGTTCAATTCAACGAAAAACACAGGTTTGGCAAAACTGTTATTTGTAAATAACAGTTGAAACTGTTATTTCTAAATAACAGCTGAAACTGTTATTTATAAATAACAGTTTGGAATTAAATAACAGGTTTTTGTTATTTATAATTGTTATCACTTCGGCATAAAAGAAACTTTAACGAGAAACTGTTATTTTTGGATGTAACAACTGTGGAGAACTGTTATTTTTAAACAACAGCTGTCTAAGTTGTCTAAAAATGTGCTACAATACGGATATAGTATAATCTTTTATCTTTAACTTCCTTCTTCAGTTGTGTAAAAATACCTAGCCAGTTTGACATAAAACGTTAAATGCCGAACGCTTTTTTTCCTACTTTTTCGTACTAGTTAAATAGACTTTTAAACAACATTTTTTAGGCTTTTGAAATGCTTTGTACATCTTAAATAAGACCTCCTCAAAAGAAGATAAAATAAATTTGATAAAATTATGTCCTATGTAAAACGTATACTGAGTGATTTTTGAAATATGGCCTTTTTCCATTATTACTAATTTAATTTTTTTGTACATTTCTTTGTGAATAATTATAAAAAAAATCTAAAATTGCAATAATATATTAGGTACCTTGAATTCCTTTGAATCCCACATGCAGTAAGCTGGTATCAATGGATCCCTACCAGTTTTTTTATGGTACTTTGTTTGGACGGAATTGTTGGTCAAGTGTATGGACTCGTGTAAATTATTTAGATTGTAAGTTTGGGAACTGAACCTTAAGTAACATAGTCTACAAAAGCAATATAGATATAATTTTAATAAATATTAATAGGTAATGGTAAGAAATGCGCCAAAACACCTGTCAATGACTTTTTGGATTGAAAAGAAAATATATTTTGAATTTACATGTTTTTTTTGTGGATGTATTCTAGAAAAATAAATTGCAATAACTTACTTGTACATCCAGATAGTCAGAGGAGATGAATTGCTGACAAGGAACCATTGTCTTATGTCAAATTTTGTGTCATGAATCAGGAACGGTCGTTCTAGAAGTAAAATATTTAAAAATATTTAAACAGCGACTTTTAATCATTTTTTTTAGGCAAAAAGTTGAAGACATTAGGTAGTACCTATATATTTTTGGATGATGTATCTTCTGTTAGGATTCTTCCTCACGACTTCTAGAATATATTCTAGGGTTCTACAAATATGGATACCTTCACCTCTGCTACTATTGGTAGGTTTTAATATCCATATGTTCATGTAACCATCCATGTCAAAGCAAGGCATGTGATCGCGGATTTCGTTCAGCACATAGGTGGTCTTCCTTACCATAGTTTTTACTACTATAGTGTCAAAAATAAAATAATATTAAGCCAAATAAATGAAATTCTGGATTAGACAAATTACTTAAAGAATCTATAATCCAGAGAAATAAATATACAGATATGTTTCATACCTTCTGCTGCATTGAGCTCGTCATCGGGTAGTTTAAAATGATTTCCCACATGGACTGCTTTATAAAACTGCTTGAGAAACTCGTGCCATTCGTTTTCCAAAGCCTCTCTTATATCCTCGTCGATATCTTGGTGTTTTTCTCTCTTGACATATTTGTAACATTCGGTGAGAGCAAAATCGAAGTAACTCATCTGTAAAACAAGAGTTTTTTTTTAAATGATTACCTACCAGGAAAATCCCTAAAATTAAGGATTTTTCCACTATTGGCAACACCGCAATTCTTACCGGAATTTTTCCAGTACTGCTGGCTATCTTGCATTCACCAGTGACGTTATTTTTGACAATCCACTTCAGCAAGGACATGGCTGCTGTCAGGCCGAAGTCTTTGACGAAGTACTTGGTATCTCCGCCCTTACATAATAAGTAACATCTGAAAAATAGACGATTTTCTTTTTAGAAGTAAGCTTTAGAACATGTATATTATTTCGTATATTTTTCATTTTATTGGTTTTATGGAAAGCACTGTTCATTAAAATGTTGTATCTTATGTTATAGGGATTGTTTCTCTATACAATTTCCTGTCTCACAATGTGCCGTTTGTGTCCGGGAAGGGTTCATAGTTTCATAGTTGTCGATTTTCGAAAGAAATCAGTACATGTATATTATTTCGTATATTTTTCATTTTATTGATTTTATGGAAAGCATTGTTCATTAAAATGTTGAATTCTATGTTATAGGGCCTGTTTCCCTCTAAATTTCTCGCTTTCTTAAAATCCCATAGTAGCATAGTTAGAAACAAATAAGTTACAGCGATTTGTTAAAAATTAACATTTTTGAAAAACACCCTGTAATTCTGGAACGGTAACAGATATCGCTGTGCGGTTTTTACCGCCTTAGTTTTGATAAAAATTGAGCTTCTTCAGACACTGATATTTTTTGTCTATCTCTTATAGAAAAGGGCGTTTCCCTTTAAAAGCGTCCAATGTGGCCCACCCTGTACAGAATCCATATTTTTCGGTGTTCGGAATCTTTCGGTAACTATTCGGTCATATTCGTAGGCACCAGTATGTTCGCATGACGCCGAAAAAGATCAAAGGATCTAACAGCGAGTGGCGCTTCTAGTTTACTTATACCAAAGTCGGTACTTTTTTTATACCTTGGGTGGTTGATTTTAGCAACGCCAGGAATCTGTAACCAATGTGCATCTCTTGCCGCTTGACACAACCCTTGCTTGCTAGTGTAACTGGCTGCTTCTCTTCGAAATTGGTTAATAAGTGTCAACTAAAAATAAATTCTCTATTAAAAACACTACATACTTGATAGTAAACACTTAAGTTTTAATATTAATTCAGTGTTTAATCCTCGGTATCAGAGGAAAAATTTGGAACATAAAGTTATATCTAATCAGTTCTGGGAAATCTGAGAGACACTCTATTTTTGTTCATTATTTACCAAGAGTACCAAAATAACGGAGTTATTTTACTTTGAAAATTTCTAAAAAAAATGACTTTTTGCTAAAATTTTGAGAACCACTGGATCTTTTCTGGGTTTTCTTTCTTGTAAATTTAATTTACTACCTATGTTGCCATATTATCAAGAATTTATGTTTTTTGACTAAAAACTAAAAAAATTACCAATTTTTTTTTTCAAAAAATTAACTAACCGAATTTTCCAAATTTTTTTTTTTTTTGCGAAAAAAACCTCATAGGCTTGTTTCTGGGGTTGGACTATACTACGAGTTAAAATACTTGCACTTATTTCTGGGATACTCTGTATAAATGGAAGAATGAATCAAAGGTTTATATTCGAGTGTTAACTGATTATGTTATATTTAATTTGTTTTATAACAATATTGTAATTATCTTTTCACAGCCATAAAAAAAGTAAAGCAAAGCTACATTTACCTTTTTGTTATCAGGACAATCTTTGAAAACATCATACGTATTATCCCAGTAAAGATCTACCTGCAAAAATATTGGAATATATAGCAAAATAAAACACTAATACACCAAACATTAAAATACCGTATAACCGAATAAAAACGGCGTCAGCGATGGCTATGAAATAAAGATATCGGGAATGTCAATGATGTTCAATTCCCAAACAACTGGACGCCGTTTATAGTGATCAGACAAACAAAAAGTTAAAAAAGAAGAATTATACCTGATTATTACTTAGCAACTTCGATTTGATCAGTTTTTTTACAGTCTCAGATATTTCTTTGTTTTTGAGTAGACCAACTAGCTCTGTAAGGTTCATATGATAAAATTCTTTAATTTTGTTGTTATTAATTTCCCTGAAAATAATAAATGTATTAAAAATGAATGTGTAAGTATATGGTAAAAGAAATATTAGAAAAACTAAGAAATATTTTTTTTTACTTGGACGTTCATTCTTGAAATATATGTATAGGGTGGTCAGTATGAAAGCTTCAGAAAAATAAGTAAACCGAGAGAAGTTCTAAAGTTCTTAGCAGAAATGTACCGAGAAAAGTTTATTTTAATAACGCGCCTCTATATTTTTTAGCGATTTTTATGTGTGTATCTCATTTATATCCTATCGAATATAATATAGTAATGAAATATCGTATTTTTTACTTTAAACTGGGATGAAACCTCTCAATCCAGCCTCTTTTCAATAGAGCTCTTCTTACAGCTGGAAAAAAGCCCTTTATAGTGAAGGTTTTCCGGTCTCTAATAGCCCTGGCTACTTCATCCTTAATTATGCCTAAAATCGTTAAAAACCAATCAGAATTTTCTTAGACTTATCTTGTATATGTCGTAGTCTCATAGTGTATTCCGCCTTTTCATGACGATCCTAGTCACTTAATGAAAAAACTAACCTAATAACATAACTAAACTGCTAACCTAACCGACATGTAATTTTTTTTTTAACTTCGGTATTATGTCTAATTTGTTTTTTACCTAGAGGATTATATATTTCCCTAGATGGAGGTATAGATGCGGATCTTTTTTTTAAACTAGGCTGCGGTGAACTGTGTGGCCTAAAAATGAAAAAAATATATACATTTCAGTTTTTAGCCATTCACAATCATTCAAATAACGAGTTAGAAAGATATTGAAATATACCGGGTTTTGCCTCGTCGGACGGGACATAGGAAATCCCATGTAAATTTTAATGGGGTCAATTATTGGCTTCCCTAATTATTTTAGAGAATAATTCTATTTAGGTTTATTGAAGAGCACTAAAACCCACATTCAAAAGAATAACTTTAGATATTTGTGATTAGCTCGTTTACGAGTTATCGCCGATTTCTTTTTAAATATTTCTCCTTTCTTATGGCCCTGTATTTACTTATAAGCACCAATCAAGGTAAAAGATAACTGTCAAATGAAGTTGTCATTTCAGAAATTTACCTATTTAGTGCTTTATTATTATTGAAAACTCATTCCTACATCGGAAATCTTAAAGATGTATTTATAAATACAAATTAATATGAATTAAAGTAAAATAAAGTAATCAATTACAAGGTTAATTATAATATTAATACAATATTCAATAACTTATTAATTTAGGTACTATTAAATTGTTAGAACTTTAGGATTTAAGAAGATGTTCACGACAATAACCCAGGCAATCATAAAATTCTCTTGTTACATTCGCTAGTTGGTAAACTTAAATTCTATTGCATTCGGCAGAAATAGCATTTTTTAACTCGTCTAGATTTGGGTATTTTTTATCCTTGTATATCCTGTTTTTTAAATGGCCCCAGAGAAAGAAATCATTTGGCGAAATATCAGAAGACCTTGCCTTAGCCAATTTACTGTATGATTTAGGCCAATAACGTTTCCGTTAAAACTATTGTCTAAATATTCCCGAACAGCCAGGGTACTATGTGCCGGGCAGCCATCCATTTGGTACCAAACTTCCTGATTTTCCCTAGCGCCATCATGTAAAACAGGTAAAATATGATTTTCGAGTAGTTCCAAATAATATTCTGCATTTAAATTTCGCGTAAGAAATAACGGCCCGATAATATTGTGTCCGAATATCCCTGCCCAAACATTTACTTTCTGTGGATATTGCGTCCTTGTTTCGACAAACCTGTGTTGGTTTTCTTTGTTCCAACATCGATAATTTTAAACATTGGGTTCATTATTTAAGGTAGACGTTCATTCGTCAGTGAAACATATGTTTTTTAAAAATTCCCTATCCGTGTTTGCTCTTTCCATCATATCAAAACAAAACGCCTGTCGCCGTATTTCGTCCCCATCTCGTAGCTCTTGGCTCTTGCTTTTCATATTTGAAGGAATAGTATTTATGTCGTTTGACAGTTATCTTTTACCTTGACTGGTGCTCATAAGTAAATACAGGGCGATAAGAAAGGAGAAATATTTAAAAAGAAATCGGCGATAACTCGTAAACGGGCTAATCAAAAATATCTAAAGTTATTCTTTTGAATGTGGGTTTTAGTGCTCTTCAATAAACCTAAATAGAATTATTGTCTAAAATAATTAGGGAAGCCAATAATTGACCCCATTAAAATTTACATGGGATTTCCTATGTCCCCCTCGACGATGCAACACCCGGTATAGAAGATACGTGAATTGAAATATAAACAAAGATATAGAGAACAAATGACAACAACTGTCAAATTGATTGGTCTCAATCTAAAAAGGTGTCAATCATTGCAAAACATTCGGTCAGTCAGTCATACGTACTACCAAGATTGACAAAAAAAACTTTCAATTCACTGTTTAGATATTAATGTTCTTAGCCTGTCTTTATACCTCATAATTAAAGAAAAGGTGTTGTCAAGTCAATAAAGTGTTAAACAATTAGACTTTACTTATAAATAATAATAAAATGAATAACCTGTTGTCATTTGAATTATTTTTAGGCTGTGTATTCCTCGATGTAGAAGACTTTTCTTGGGGGAACGTCATATTTGTCACATTCGTCGCTACAACTTTGTTATTACCACTAAACTTGCTGTCCAAAGACTTTGAACGATTCCTTTGACTATTTCCAGGTTCAATTCGAGGCTGAGCTTTATTATTTTTGTTAGCAACAGGCTGTTTGTTTTGATTGGTTTGTTTATTGTTTTTGTTATTATTATTATTGGTCTGTTTTTTAGCGTTTTGTTGCTCAACATCCATTTTGCTCTTTGCCATTTCTTGTTGTTTGTAAGTATTTTCAATTTCCTCTAAAACGTTTGTATTGGAATTTATCGTTTTGTTAGATTTGATTAACTTGATTCCCTTTTTCAGGTCTAGTAGCACATAGGCCATATCACGTGCAATCTGTAAATAGATACACCCCTGTATACTTTTAAGAAAGCAATACTTTTTTTGGTAAAGTTGGTAAAAAGCGTCGAATTTGACCCACCCTGTACAAGATGTTGATAAACTTTTTTTTATTATAGCATGCATATTTAAATATCTCAAAAACCAAAGCATTTAAACATATTAAACCCTTATAGTAAATTATTTTATGCACAAGAATCCAAAAATGAAATAAAATACCGGGTGTGTGTTCCATAAGAAAAAATATAACTTTGGTATGGATCTTAGTTTTGACACAACTTGTACATTTGAAAATAATTTTAAATTATGCACATTGCCTCTCTACATATACCCATAAACATTTTTGTTTCTACATCTTTCCGTTTTCATGGTACAAAGAATACAAGGTATGATCGATAGCGGCTCCAATTTCGTTCATTTCGCGCATACCACCTGTGACGTCACTAGGAAAATAATGAATAAATAAAAAATAAAGAAAGTTGACAGGAGATCTGCATTTTTGAGGTTATGGTTAAGAATTGTTTATTTTTAAGACTTTTAGTTCGTTTAATTTAATAATTACTAAAACCAGCAGTTCCAAAAATATATTTAAAAATAATAATTATCTATTAACATGGATTTGGACGATAGGTAAGAATACTAAATTTATTTCTATATTCGGTATAAAATTGTTTATTAGGTTTTTAGTTTGCGATGTTTATGGTAAATAATTTTCATTTTCATTGCCTCTGAATTCACATGATGACAGAGTTGAGGATATCTATGGAAAAGTAACCACAAGAGGAATTGTTACATCATTTAGAAAATGTTGGGAAGTTTATTGTTTCCCATCGAAAAGTAGAAAAATGCCAATGCAGATGAACATATTGTAATTGTGGGATAGAAGTAATTCTAAGGGTGAAGTTTATTATAATTAGTGGAAGTAATACCAAGGGTGAGAAGTTTATTATAATTAGTGACCTGTGCTTCTTTTTTATATGTAGATGTTTCTGGTTTTGAGAATAAATCGGTTGAACGATTGCACCCAAAATTTAAAGGAAGTATTTGCATACCCAGAATATGCCCATCAAGGATTATATAGCTCAAATTTCCTTTAATGGTAGGCAATTATTCAATGCAAATTAACTTTAAAGTGACTGAAATAAATAGTTTACAATATGGTATATCACTAAAAAAAATATATTACTTTTTAGGTACAGTTAGGGCCTGATACATTTCAAAAAGTAGAATATTATTTTATATTAAATGAGGTATTGTACTAACAATCAATTTATATTAATAACGGACATTAAAAAATACCAGAATAAAATGGTTCTTTTTTATACTACAAAATAAACTATAGAATACAACAGTATTCAAAAAAATAAATAAAAAGTTATGTCCCGCCGAGATCTGAACCCTGGTCTACCGTTTCCCCAGCTCCGACTCCCCTTACGCACTGCTCCACAGTAACTTGCTTTAGCGATAATTCAATGACGGTATATAAACAAAAAACAGGTTTATAACAATATCTTGACGATTTGAACTGGCGCGCGGAGCGTATGCTGACCAATAGCGCCTGTTATCACCATAGCGACGTAGCGACCAACCTGCGCAATTATTTTATGTATAATCGAATTATTTTATGTATATATGTCGTATAATCAACCGAGGCGAATGAGGTGCGCCCACCCTGTATACCGAATATTTTTCTCATTTTTATGTTAATTTTTACTAACATTTTCGAGAGCTGCATTGCTTATTGGTTCCCTGGACGATTGTTTTAAAGCAAAACTGTTTTTTTGTACCACTTCTCTGCAATTTTCGATCACTTTGAAGATCTTGCTTTCCTCTTGAACCCTGTCATTTAGTGTCTGCAAATGTGATTTCATTTAAATCAAGTTATTTGTTATAATATATTGAGTATTACCGGTTCTGTGGACATGGTTAATAAGTACAAATCACTGAAAATTTGGAAGAACGCATGCTTGAAGATTCTTGCTTGAATCCGCACTGCTGTTTTGACGTTTTACATTTTTTTTAGATTTTTCTGTCATTAGAGAAGTTTTGTCAACTTAGAAGTCACCTGTGTTGTATACAGGTATCGAAATTTTATTGTCTTTATTTTCTAAATAATACGAATAATAAGAATTTACGATCTTTGGGATAGTTATATTATTTTCGATTTCATAAAAACTCTCAGCTCCACAGATTTTGATAAATGAGATAAAGGTTTTTGACTGAAACAGTCTTTAAGCTTGGCTTTTTTAGGCCTAGGATGTTCTTCCTGGTAGCATTAAAAATTTAAATAAAACGTCATATATTAATTTATGTATATTTTATTTACAAGAGAGAAAAAAATATAATTCTTTAGATAGATATATTACTATTATTCTTGAATGGCAGTGTTTTTTGTAGTGCAAAAATACATAATATGAGATCTATAAAGGATTTTAATTTTTGTATATTTTATTTACAAAACCATAAAATATTTTATTAATATATTTTTAGTTATTACATTAGCTTTAATGGCAGTGTATATCTATAGCACCACACACAAATAAGCGTTTCTACAAAATATTTTCTTGGAATATGGAATAAGTTATTAAGTATTGGTAGAATTAGTAGATAAATGCGATTTGTATCACCTGCATGGATTAGCTAACATAAAGCTACACTAAAACGTCATCTTTTAACATTTTTATTTAACATTAATTTATATGTAGTGTACTAAGATTTTATAAAGATTATTAAATTTATTTAAAGTTTGATTCTTTGACATTACTTAATAACTTATTTTATGCTTTAATTTTAACCTGTTATTTTTTATTGATAATTTGTTTTTAATGTTATAACCGATCTGTTTTCGTTTATTACAAGCAAATTTTTACGCATTATATTATTTATATTTCACATTACAGCCTATTCGTTACACAGCCAGTCGACTTATTTGACGATTATTTACATGAAACTTTACTTGTACTTTTAATAAAATATTTTGTTTTATATACAATGGTGGCCAAAAGTATGGAAACTTTTTACTTTTTAAAATATCACAGAGAATATTGCTATGCTTAAACTCTCAGGAATATAAATGAACAGCTTATCAGCAAATAAAAGTATTCCAAAAATTACACAGCGAAAAAAATCTGTTTAGCAGTTTTTGTAGGAGAACAATAGATTCCTTGTAGCCAAAAGTATGGAAACCATAAATAAATACATTAAAATTATTTAGTTTAAGCTGATAAACAGTACGATTTGCTTCAGATAAATATAAACATCATGCCCAAGTCTAAATATTTCTCTACGGATTTAAAAAATAAAATAGTTGAATTATACAAGAGCGGTTATAAACAAATTCAAATAAGTAAAAATTTAAACATTTTAAAAGGCACCGTTTCGAAAATAATTCGTAAATTTAATAAAACAGGGAACGTTTCAACAGCTTTTAAGTCAGGAAGACCAAGAAAGTTGTGCAACAGGACAATGAAAGTAATGAAGAGAATATCAATGGGAGATCCAAGAAAAACATCCACAGACATTTCTCGAGAAATGGGTGAAAGGGGAATATCGGTGTCTGCACGCACGGCGAGAAGAAGGTTGGATGACATGGGACTTTTTGGAAGAGTTGCGGTGAAGAAACCACTAATATCAAAGAGAAGAATAAATAGGATGGCCCGCTTTAAATTTGCTCAAGATCATCTCACCTGGTCTTACCAGAAATGGAATACTGTACTGTTTAGCGACGAAAGCAAGTTTCAACTGTTTGGTAGTGACGGGAGACGTTATGTCCGAAGACTAAAAGGTACACGGTACAGCCATAAGTACAAGATGCCCACAGTAAAACATGGGGGTGGGAGTATAATGGTATGGGGGTGTTTTTCTGCTCAGGTGTTGGTCCTCTTGTTAAAATTGATGGGATAATGGACCGTTTTTTGTACAAAGACATATTGGAGAATAGTATGCTGCCTCATGCTTATGAAGAAATGCCACTCAGATGGTTGTTCCAGCAAGACAATGATCCCAAGCACAAATCTCGGTTTGTTCAAAATTGGTTAAATGAACATAATGTTCCACTAATGAATTGGCCCTCACAGTCTCCGGATCTTAACCCCATAGAAAATTTATGGGACCATTTGGATAGCAAAATTCGAAGCCATTCTATTTCAAATAAAAATGAATTATGGGACGTGCTAAAAACTGAATGGGCGGCCATTTCCAGTAAAGATTGTATGAGATTGATCGATTCGATGCCACGAAGATGTAGAGAAATAATTAATTCAAAGGGATATTCCACTAAATATTAGTAATTTTTATATTATCTTGAATTTTAATAAACATTCTTCTTAAGTTTCCATACTTTTGACCAAGAAAATATTCATAATTTTTTATATATTTTTTGATAGCTGTAATTTTTTATTTAAATGTATTAGGTTTTGTAGGAAATTATTTGTAGGTCACGATTATGTAAGTCGTTTTATTTCATATTTTAATTTCTCAGCATAAATGACAAATTAAAAAAGTTTCCATACTTTTGGCCACCACTGTATATTCTTGTGCAATATTAAACTTTTTTTATTTGTACATAAATTACATTGATAAATATAATAATAAACGCAGAAAGTTTCTTAAAGTTTGAAAGTAAGAAATAGTTTTATTTTATATTTTATTATTATGTGAATGTTAATATTAAAGACAAGTACGAAAATTCAAAAAAAGTTATCTATTAAATAACACTTTACACTCTCTACGATTTTCGCTTTGCGAATGCTTCATTCTAGAATATTTCCGGATTTAAGAATTCATAAGATGAATCTTCGCTGCGAGACTAAATTAGTTTTTAATGAATCTGGTAGATTTTTTAATTCTCTTCAATTTTTACCTCTTGAAGTTTTTCGCTATAACGCACCGTTTTCGAGTTATTTACATTTTTTCCCAAAAAGTACCAAAATTCAAGATGGCGGTCGATTTTTTTTGATGACGCACACACCGGACAAATGGGGACTTTTAGTATGTTAATAAGGGTTACTAATGCTAACTATTTTCAATGGTCGCAGCTTTCTAAAAAATTTTGCAAATTCAAAATTATTTGCACTGGCCTAAACCTCGCAGTTAGTTGAATAAATTAGTGGTTTCAATTCTACTTTATACTTTTTAGATTACGATAATTCACAATGTTTTTAAAATTAATAGAATAGCCTAGCAACAGCTTGCGTTAGCCAGTTGTATCCATAGAGAAAGCCTAATATTTAGTAGTTTATAAAACAATCAACTCTTGATTTCTAACCACAATTTCTATTGACGGAAGATAACCAAAGGCCAAAGTGACATTTCTTGCAAATTTTAAGGCATAATTAGAGGAAAAGTTAAAAGTTTGATAACTTTTTCTACTAATTGAACATGTCTTTCGCTAATTTATTTGACGTTCTGAATGCTAACATTGAAATTAAAGGAACAAACTTCCACGCTAATAGAAACCACTAATTTACTCCACTAATTGCAAGGTTCTGAACGAAGCTTTATACACACCCTTAATTATTTTTTTTTAAATAAAATAACTGGATTAGATTTTTCGAGTTTTATACCCAAGCAGCATTTGGACGTCGGGACAACGTTGTGTCACGCGACCAAACGTCGGGGCGCAACGTCGGCACAACCTCGTGCCAACCCTAGTCTGCACTAGTTTGGAGAATCATTTTTGGGTCGAAACGACGTTGGATACCGACGTTGGCTAGAAGCCTAATTTAGTACAAACTGCAACGTTGTTTAAAATCCTAATTCACAGAAATACAAAACTAATATGGCGTCTAAGTCGCGTTTTATCCTAAATTGGGATAATTATAGTAAAAATATTATATTTATAATTTAGTTAGAGACATATGTCAGATGGCAGTGAAGGAAAACAAAACAAAAGTATTTAAGTGTGGAGGATGTTTGAAGATCATAATTATTGAAACACTTTAACCGACTCTGTAACTCGTTACCCAAGGTAAAAAGTTAAACGCAAACAACTTTATTGATAAATGTATTGTTTCTACTTTAAAAAATACTAATGGGCCTTGAAATTAAAGAAGTTTTAAAAATTTTCTTGAATTTTTTTTTTAGTAAAATGAGAATAATTTATTCGCATTCGAAAAAATTGTTTCCGCGTATTTTTTAGGGTCAAATATTTCAAGTTAATGTATTCAAAAAGCAGGAATTGCTATTTTAAGAACGAAACATTTTCTTATTTAACAACATGGCGGCTTTAACTTTGTTGTTTTGGAGATTAAGATGGAGTAGTTCGAGTAGTCGCATACTGGACTAATAAAGTCGCAGTTCGGCCTTAACAGGTAGTATACTAGTCGCAAGATTGCCTAATTTAGTCATTCTAGAGTCTAGCTTGTGCCGCCCTCTATAATCTAAATAAACGAGGAAGTGTCGGTAATATATGTCGATGTATATTTAAATTTAGTTTTATATGTACCTTTCTTATGTCCCATTTTAATTAAGTTTTTTTTTTATAAAAACAAAAACAGCACTGAACTGTCTGACTGAACAGAACAATGAATTGAAAATTTAAGATTTAAGGTTATGGTTCAATACAGTTGCAAAAAGGTAGTGACTCTACGTCCTACCAACGTAAGAATAAGGAAATCTAAACAACGTTGGAATTAGTAAAACAGACGACGTTTGCATAACGTTGGAATAGGTCCTGAAACTGACGTCGGAAAACTCTATATTATCCAACGTTGTAACTACGTTGTCCAAATCACCTAAAGATCACTTAAGCAAAAAAGGTTACAAGACAACGTTTATTCGACGTCGCAGAAGCTTCTACTTTGCTGTAGTACTAGTCCAACGTCGGCACAACGTTATAAAAACGTTTAAATTTATTTTAATACCCAAGGTAGGGAGCTAACTATTATTTGTAACTAATCCAACGTTGTGTTCAGTAAACATGTAGTCGCAAGTCGTGAAAATGCTACTTGGGTACAGTTTATACTCTTTGCATTCTAACTGTGCCAACTTATTTTTTTGTAAAATCAAATAAACCACTTTGAAATTAAAATGACAGACACATCTATCACTGTCAAGGATCTTGTCGTTGGACAAATTACACTTTTATGTGGCTATTCTAAAATTAGCGAAGTCGACTGGCTGCCCAATGAATAGGCTGTGACATAATCGCTCATTTAACAAACTTAGGCTCCATTGGTACAAGAACCATTAATTTCAGGCAACAGTTTATTCAAATCGAACGTGTGCAAATTAAGACAAGGCAAAGTCCTAACCAAACTTTTATTAAAGTCTACGAGACAGCCTCCAGGAGGGACCGTTTTCCCCAAAACTCCCCCGTTCTTCAGGATGCTGGTAGTCCCCCTTTCCCACAAGTCGCGCGATGGTTTCTCCTCCTGTTGCTCCGGTACGACCGCATCCTGGAACAGCCCGTAGTACCGTCTCTTCCTGCTACCGTAACCTACTTGACCGGACGACGACGTGCTCCTCGGCTTGAGGCTAGTGCTTTCCCCGCTTGCGTTTGCTGGCGGTTTTCTGTGTAAAGAGGAGGGTTTGTGGTTATTTTTTGGCTGCTTGGTGTGGCAGTACCTGGCTGGCGGTACCCTTTCGGCGGCGCGTCCTGCCGTCGCCGGCTTCTTCTTTGCCGTCGTGTCCTGAAGGTGGTTGCGGGATGGCTCCAGGCACGGGTTGTCGGGGTTGGCGGTGCGGGGGTGGACGAATTTTATGCCGCTGTCGCTTTCGTACACTGAAACACAGATTAAGTAGATTATTAAAACGGGGTTGTTATAGGAAAATTAATATACATACATAGGGCCAAAATTATTGCATATATCGTTTAAAAATATACGGAAAGGAATTTAAGGAATCTTTTTTTTATATATAGCTTTGATAATCTGTAATAAACATTTTTTTTGTTAAAATGGATATGGTAAACAATGTTTATCGTTCAGATCCAATATTATTACAAATTTTTGCACATTTCGATTTGTGGTCTCTCAGAAGAAATTTGGCCTTAAAATGCCTAGAAACATTATTTCACAGTTTAATACACTGTCTCAACAGGGCTACCGGCAAGTTGCATTAGCTGAAACTGTAGGAGTTAACCAAAGCGATGTTTCGCGAATATTAAAAAAAATTAGGGAGACAAACGAGGTTACAGACCGGCCTGGAAGAGGTAGAAAGAGAGTTACTACTGCTGTGCAAGACCGTCAAATATCCCAAATTGCACGACGCGATCCCCTGCTTTCTAGTACTGCTATTAAAAATGAGTTAGCTCGCCTTGAAGGAGTAAATGTTTCAAGAAAGACCATAGCAAGAAGACTCCATGATAGAGGATTACATTTAAGGAGGCCTCTACGTGTTCCGAAGCTTAAGTTACAGCACAAAATTACGCGACTACAATGGGCTGAGGAGATGAGAGCAAATGGACCTAATTGGAATTTCGTCATGTTTAATGATGAAACAAGAATATGCCTAGTGTCAGACTCGCGACGAACTTTGGTCTGGAGAGCATCTGGAAGACGAGCACTCTTGAATGCAGTTCAACCCCGTATCTCGTTTCAAGGGGGAAGCGTTATGGTATAGGCAGGTATAATGCACCGAGCTCGAATTCCTCTTGTTTTTATTGATGGCAAAATGACAGGTGCCTCATATCTTAGAGACGTTTTAGAGCCTATTGTGCGTCCATTGCGAAGGGCAGTGGGGGATGAATTTGTTTACATAGACGATAATGCTCCTCCCCATCGCACTTTAGCGGTTCGCGAATTTTGTGAGGTAGAGGGTATAAGAAAACAGTGGTGGCCACCGATGTCTCCAGATATGAATGTGATCAAGCATGCTTGGGACATGCTAAAACGCCATATTGCCAAAAGGAATGATGAAAATTGCTGCGCGCGAAACATGGGAAGCCATTCAACATCTTCTGGACAACTTAATTGAGAGCATGTCGCGTCTTCTCACAGCTTGCATTGAGGCTCGAGGAGGCAATACAGACTATTAATTGTGAGAAATAATTAAAATTGTTTTCAATATTTTCTGTTTAAAATGAAATTTCTTTTTGTTGATTTTCACTCATTATCAAATAAAATTATAATAACAGCCTAGTTGCACTTAGATTTTTAATTTTATATTAGTTAGTCGTGTAGTAGGCCAATATGTCCAAAAATATAAAAAGAATCATATTAGGTCCAAAATAAAATAAAAATATCGTTATATGCAATAATTTTGGCCATAGGTGTAAGTTGACGGGCAGGTCATAAAATTGGACGAATAGATAGTTGGTCTGTTCTTACTTGATTTTTGCAATTCCTCCATTAAATCTTCGATGACGGGTCCTTTGTAGATATCTGGTGATAACAGCTTCGGCAACAATTTGGTCGCGACATTGTCGTGAAGGGTTTCCGCCTTGTAGTAGTCCAGAGATTTTCGGACTTTGGACGACAGGCCCAAGGACATCCTCTCCCGCGGTTCCTTGCCATCACAAGAGAAAAAACGGAAAGAATAAGCAAACATTAACCGAATCAAAATACAGTTTTTGGTTTAAATCAATTGTGTTGTGGTAGTTTAAGCTTAATATTTTTTGCTAAGAGACCTTGCAGTCATTCATTATTCTTTTTAGAACCTCTTTTAGTGGAAAGTGTACAAGACTTAATAGCCGTTACAAAAAACTAATCGCCGTTACAAAAAACTAATCGCAACGTTATTAGAATATTTTGAACGGGAAAGCGGTAGTAATGGCCCTTTATGTCCCTTAAGTGCTGTTAAGAAAGTGAGTTTTGTTGATATAAATAATAACTGTTTGTATATTTATAATTAATTCATTTTTGTTTTCTAAAATATTTTGATTAGAAGAAAATATGTAAAAGTAGGCAACCCTGTGCCTGTCAAGCTTAATCACGTCATCACGTGACTAAAAGTTTATTTGATATGAACTTTGAATAAGAAGACTAAGGAAGGAGTATATCAAAAATCTTAGGTCCACCGCGATGGGACACAAATATGGCCGACTTAAATTCCGGTTTATCAGTGCCGTTCTAATTTTATTTAAAAAATGTAAAACTATGATGTAGGGTAGACGTGGGGTAGACTCAATAATTTGTTGTTTTATTTTACGTTGTGAATAAATGTTGGTAGTTATTAAAATTGTTATAAAAATATATAATTCTAATAAAAATAGATAAGTTATAATAAGTATTTATTAACACAAACATCCGATACGCTACTGAAGCAGGTAAGTCAAATTAACGTATCTAAATTCTTTGACATCTAATCTTTGACAAGTAATAAATAAAAGCTAAAATGCAAGAAAAATATATAATTTAGTTAATTTAAGTGAATTTCATAAATGATCGGTTTACTACACGTATGTATATTATATAGTCACTTACTAGCGAAAAGTTGGTCCATTATTTTACTCAATTTTTGCCGAGATCTACCGCACGCTACACAACCAACTATTTTACAGTCTTTTTCGATAAATCACGATAGTGTCACTGTTAATTTAAGTGCTGCCACAATTTCCATCTAGATTTACTACCTTTATACAACTATCACTAGTAGAATAAATAATAAATAACATAAAATAAGCTCCGTAAAGACTGACAAATCCAGAAAATTTCAAATCAAATTCAAATGTGTCAAATGAATCGTCAAACAGAACTGTCAAGGATCCCCACCCTAGAGTGTTTTTATGGTGCTTTTTCCGCCCACCATGCATGAATACATGGATAGCATTATGCTCCTTCCTTAGTCTTCTTATTCAAAGGATATGAACTATAGATAATAATGGATGTCGAATTTTTGCTGATACTGTACGCGTTTAAATGCAAATTATTTTCTATAAATTTCTGTTGGCTAGTCGCCTGCTCATTTGCAAATAGGTATTCTCTTATCCGTCCTAACCTTTCCCTCGTTTTTTGGCGGCTTGCCCCTGGTCCTAAACAGCTTCCTGCCTCTCACGGACAGGTTCATCCCTAAATAAGGGGGCGTTTTGGGGTAGTTTTGCTTGTAGACCATTTCGAACAGGCCAGTGTCGGCGTTGGAATCTTTTCTTCGGTCCAAAACGACTGAAATTAAATAAATCCTTTAAATAATACGCTTAGAAATATATAATATGAATTTTCACAGATGAAAAAAGTGGACTAGCTGACAGAATAGTAAATAACAAAGGTAAAATCTACAAAAAATTAAAGGTTTTTTACCTTTAATGATATCTTCCATGCACTGTGGACACAAACGACTGGTAACGGACGTGGAAAAGGACAGGTCAGGACTACAGTTTATTTCTAATAACCAGGGAGTAAAATCTTCGGATAGAATGAAATCAGCACCGTAAATTTCGAAAGTGTTTGGCCTGCGATCCATCGTATCCTGGCTGGCCAACATGGCGCATATAATACTCTGTCTCATACCAGGAAATATAACCTAAAAAAGAAAAGTATTTACAATAATAAAAGAGGGAATGGTAGAAAAGAAATTATATATCAACAAAGGAACAGCAAATTCATGGCTATCAAGTGCTATCTGAACAAGCTCAATCTGAATCAAGAAAGTCTTTGTTGCAGACTCTGCGATAAAGATCTTAAAACAGCCGGTATTAGGGTTCAGTATACCTGGTTCCATTTTTCCATGCACCCGATTTGCTTCAAATAAGCCTTGAAGGTGTGACAATCCCACATGTTGTCATCTGGCAGTGACTTATCTCTTAGCTGACCGTTTATATACTTGCACTGCACGGCGTGATTGGTGAGATGAAGAGATTCATGAAAATTCTCCAAACTGAAGATCTGACTACTAAATCTTAAATAGCTGTCTCTAAAATATACAATTTATTTGTAACAAAAATAATATATCATATTTTACATACTTATACATCCAGATAGTCAATGGTTGGACGTTGGTAACCATAAACCACTGTCTTATGTCGAACTTTGTCTTATATATAATCAAAGGCTTTTCTAAAATCGACTACTATAATTTTAGTAAGTTTTCTGCTGGATTTCTTAATTTTATTCAACGCCAATTTTAATATAATTCAATTTTAATAGTGAAACTTACCAATGTACTTCTGTACGACGTATTTTACCTTCAGACCCATGATCTTGTCTACGTCGGCGATGTTCTTGATCAGCTGGATGCCTCGACCTCTGCACTTGTTGCCTGGTTTCATTATCCAGATGTTCCTCATGCCGTCTATGTCGAATTGGGGCCAGAACCTGGATATTTCCTTAAGACAGGTCTTGGCCAGTGCATATTTTGTCAGTAATTTGTCCTAGAACACCATGTGGTGAAAAGAAATTCAAATAAAACCAATTACTAGATTTAATGAACATAATATGGTCAGAACATAACGCTGGTTTTTGTCCGTTTATACGCTATTGTTTATAAGATTGAAGAAATAAGAAGATGCGCAACCTTATGGGCGATTATTAGGGGATTCTTATGGGCGATTTTGATAAATTTAGTTTAGCTCTGCGCCGCTGTGACAGTACACCAGTGTGTGTTGCCAGAACTAATCATTAATCCGTCGATGTACGGATTTTGGGTACAGTACGTTAATAATACGGATTTCCTATCATTAAACAATTTAGTATAATATTATGTGATTAAACAAAGAACGGCGTCAGATTTGGCTTGGAAATGAAGATTGCTGTTATTTCATATTATGTAAAATATTATGGTAAATGTCAACAATCGTCATTTCCAAGTCAATTAAACGACTTTTTTCGATCATACGACATATTCAGTACACATAAAAGAGTTTTTATTTTTGTTGGTTATTCTATGTTTAACACCAATAAATTTTCAATACATAAACGCGGATTTTTCATCCAAAGAAATTTTCGTCAAACGTTTTACAGATATTACACATGTTAATATGGCAACACTGTCGCTTTCAGATTCATACCGTCTTCGATATGCCTTTGCCGGCCGAATTAGAGAAAATGAGTGTTTTATGCGCTGACCGCAGAACGATTGGTGTCTCCACCGTACAGCACTTGAGACCTAAGGGGAAATCAAACCAGCTTTGTCACTAATTCGCCCATTGGGTTGCGTATCTTCCCAATTCTTTCAATCAACGATACTATGTTAAAGAATAATGTACCTTAAAGTCATAAAAGAGCTCGTCCTTATGCACCACAGAGTGAAAAAACCCCAAAAACTGTTCCCACTCGTGATCCCAGACTCTCGGAAACTCCTTATCTATATCCAGATGTTTCTGTTCAGCCACATACTCCGTACACCTTTCAAAAAGCAGTTTTGACTTGAGAAAAATTGTGTAAAATATGACATATTATACCTATCTAAAGCAAACTGTAAAGCCGAATGGGGAATGCTGCCTTCGATCGAATGCACGTCTAGTTTGTCTTCGTATCTTTGGGTGAACCATTTTAGCAAGCCCATGCAGGCTGTTTGGCGGAAATCGTCTACGAATAGGTTGTAGTGATCGGGGAAACCCAAAACGTAGCATCTGGGAAAGCTTATCTACAATATGTTATGGTTGTTAATACTATAAAATATTTTTTTTTATTAAAAAATTAGGTAATGGCATCAATATATCTAATTACAAAAAAATCCAATCCTTTTTCTTTTATAGTTTTCTATTAATAACATACATAATAATACGAGAGCTAGCAACGCCGGAAAAACAAGTATTTTAAGACGTCTGGCTCTTTGATATATCTTTTACTATGCTCTCCAGAACAGCATGCGGTAAACGTTGCGTTCCCTAGTGCGCATTGAAAGAAGATCCTATATTTTTATTAGTCAAAAAAGGAAGTTTTCAACTTTGCAAGTTAAACATTTGACAGGATTAATTAGATTGTCAGTAGCTTTTTCTATTTCTTAGCTCTAGAAGGAGATAACTAAAATCTGTTGATAATTGGAGTAATAAATTGTTTTTAACTGAATGTGCCTGTTTTTTTAGCTTGTCAGAAGAGAAGATTATTGTCATTATTGATTATCTCAGATTCCACGATTATTCGGCATTTTTGTTTTGTGGTTGAGATCCAGGCAAAACGTTTCCTTTAAAGGTAAGTTTTATCTCGGTAATTATTTTAACATACCTAATAGTAATAGTGAGTGCACATAATAATCACCTGTTCACTCCCAACCAAGTTAGATAAAAAAGATATTGAATATTGCAGCCTTGAGTTGGAGTATAGCAAGGAGTATGGGGTTAAATAAATTATTATGTTCCTAAACAGTATTTTATTTATAGGTTTTAATGCTTTAAAGTTTAATAATAAATTTTCGTTGTCAACAAAATAATCTAAAAAAAACTACGAAGATTCTAAATATTAATTACTTCTCTTTTTTAAGCTAGTTCTGTTTGGTTTGTATGAATTTTATATATTTATTTTATATTTTTTAAGTTTCTTTTTCATTGGCAAAATACACAGATTTTTCGGGAAATGAACTTAATGAATTTACGTCTTACGTTGGAGATATTTTCTTCAGAATACCAATAAGATTGTTGAAGCAAAAGGGCCAATCCTTCCTTGGAAGCAAACAACGATCTGCTGAACCTGTTGATCAGTTTATAGGCATTTCCTCTGTGCTGTAGATCGGAAGGTTCCTTCCTCATCGACCAGTAGAAATCTACATCGTAGCTTGACAACATACGGGACATTACTGAAAATATTGATATGTATAAGAGAAATAAATGATATATAATTGAAAAAAAATTAAAAAAATACGTTTTTATAGTAGATTCAGGTTCTTCTTCTTCTTCTTCTTCTTTTAGAAGGCGTATCGCCTGTTTAGTTCCGGTTTCCTCCTCGTCTAAGCAACTCTTGCGAGGTTGACTGCCAATTGTCTTGCCAACGTTTAGGTGGTCGTCCAGTAGGTCTTCTGCCATGGGGTACGTTGTTGCGAATTATTATGGCCATTCTGTCGGGGCCCATTCTATTGACATGCTGGTTCCATTCTCTCTTCTCTGCCTTATCCATCTGACAACGTCGTTTGTTTGGCACTTTTCTCTTATGTCTACATTTCTCTGTCTGTCCCTCAATGTGTATCCAGTTATCATTCTTAAGGTCTTCATTTCAGTAGTTCGTAGGATTCTCTTTGTTACCGATGTTTCAGCTCTGGTTTCCGCACCATATGTCATCACTGGTCGTATGCAGGTTTTGTATATTCTTGACTTACATTCTGTACTCAAATGTTTGTTTTTCCATATGGGATATTTAAGATGTCCTGATATTGCGGCAGCTTTATTGGCTTGTTTCCTTACTTCTTCTTTCAGAAATCCTGAGCTTGTAATTTTGCAACCGAGGTATTCGAATGACATTATCTGATCAATAGTAAAATAAAAACGAAGTTTTTATTTTGCTGTTTAACACCAAAGGTTCCAACCCTCAACTGTAATGATCAATAGTTTTGTTTTTTATTACCAATTTGCACCGTAGAGGCTCCTTTGTAATGGTCATGCATTTGGTCGTATTTGTGGAAATTTGCATGTTAAGTTTTTCTGCCTGTCTGTTAAAAGCTTGTAGCATTCTTTGGAGGTCGTCTTCTAACTCTGCAATAAGTACTGCGTCATCGGCATAGCATAATATGTTTACTTTATGCATTCCCATTCGATATCCTAATCCAGTATTCTTGACGGTTTTTATTACTTCATCCATGATTGTGTTGAATAACAGAGGGCTGAGACTGTCGCCTTGGCGAATACCAGTTGTAGTTCGAAGATGCTGCGTTAAGGTAAAGTTTGTTCTTATTTGGGTTGTTGTGTTTGTGTTTAACTCCTTGATAAGTTCTGTGAGTTCTTTCGAGACATTACTGCTTTCCAAGACGGTGATGATGTCTTTTAGTTGGACTCTATCAAAGGCCTTTGTTAAATCTATAAAACATAGATAGGCCTGAGTATGAATAGTGCATCGGTAGTTGATCGGTTTCTTCGGAATCCTTGTTGTTCCTCACTTGTTGGCACTATTGAGGAGATTTTGTCCGCAATGATCTTAGACAGAAGTTTTAGCGAGGTGCTCAGTAATGTTATTCCTCTATAGTTTGCTGGGTCTGTTTTATCTCCCTTTTTAAAAATGGGTATTGTTATACTTTGTTTAGGAGGATTGGAAAGGACGGATCCAAAAACGATAAAGGATCTGGCGCAGGAATTTACTGCAGCAGTCCAAAGACTGAGATCTACCACAGTCTTGGAAAACACACCAAAATTTTCCAAGCTGAGCTATATGCTATTGAAACCTGTGTGCAACTGCTGGTAGAACAGCAATACACCGGGAAAACAATAATCATATTTTCGGATAGTCAAGCCGCGTTGAAAGCACTTGAGGCAACGAAAAGCACGTCCATGACGATTCTTCATTGTAAGAAACTACTCAATATATTAGGAGATAGGAACAAAGTGTCGCTAATATGGATACCGGGACATGTCGGCCTAGAGGGAAACAAACGTGCTGATTTCCTCGCCAAAACTGGCGCAGGCTCGCCATTCGTGGGCCCAGAACCGACACTTAGCGTACTAAAAAATCTCCCAAGAGACAGGCTCTGTGAATGGGTTAGGGGTGCGACGTTTCGGGACTGGAATGACAGTCCCGGAATGGAACATGCCAAGACAATTCTAGCAGGGCCATCCAAACGTAGAACAGATGAACTCCTAAAGGCTGGTAGGAACGGAGCGCGTACGCTTACTGCAGTATACACGGGCCACTGCCTGCTGAGATCACACCTACAGAGGATGGGACTGGTGGAAGACGCCGAATGCCGACTCTGTATGGAAGATGACGAAACAATGAAGCACGTTATGTGTACCGGCCCCGCTGGGGGCAGGACCGGGTTTGAGGTGTTTGGCAAACCCACGCTAGACCTATCAGACCTAGAAGACATATCACCCTCGGACATAACGGCCTATGTTAAAAGGCTGGGCCTTGAGGGTGAACTTTAATGCTCTTTTTCTATTAAAGAGCTTGTAGAAACTGAGCCACAATAGGCCCTCGTGGCCGCAGTGGAGGGTTCCACCTGGGACCCACTCTTAGTCAAATACAATACAATACAATACCTCAAGCTGCTGCTAGGATATTCTATTAATTTTAATTATTGTATTTTTTAAACATTGTGATAAGTTTTTAAGTATGAAGTGTATTGAAACCACTAATTTATTCGGCTAATAACAATTCCCAATGACACTTAATTTGTAAATCAACAATTATGGTGTTGTCAAATCGGATTTTGAAATAATTTAAAATCTCTATGATTATGAATTACAGAACAAATAAATTTAGATAAAACGTTATAAATCTTGAAATAAAAAAAAGTGCGGAAAACACATATTTAAATTTAATGGAATACTATAATCAATAGATAATAAAATAATATACGAACTTGGTTAATATATATTTTTTTATTAAATATATACTTACTATCTCACGATAACGGTATTAGTTAAAAAACAAATACAATCATGCTGATTCATTCTTTTTTTTACGATTTCTTGTTAATTCTTCCGTTACTTACCGGTTCTTTCACATTTTTCTACATAAGTTGATGGAGATTCCCATTCCTGTTTGACGGGAAGATTACTGGTGACGTCATCGGCACTCTGCGATCTCTGTTTGGTGCCCTGTTCGTATTTTTCGATCCAGTTTCTCTTGAGAAGTTCCTTGCGTATAATAGGCCACCCACCTACACGCGTGAAAAAATAAAGAAATAAAGAAAAAAACAGAATGATGTTAACCACTGATTAAAAAAGTTTGGCCCATAGACCTTATTAAAGCTGTGTTTGGAAGGATTATTGTTTAGTCTAATGAAGGGGTTGATTTTTTTTGGGTAAAAATAAAGGGTAAAGGCGCGTTTATACGCCAAAAATACCGGTTTGTTTTTGAATTGACATCTATGGATATACAAACGCTTTCAACATCAAAAGGTGAAGTTTTTAAATTGTTTTATTACACTCTCAATGAATATTTTTCATATTAGAAGTGTTTACTGTAAAATTACTACGTTTATAAAATAAGTTAATGTAATTTTGCAGTTACTAGTCAAAACGAAACTGATCGAAAAAAAAGCGCTGGCTTAAACGTAGGCTTGACTAAGGATACGGAGGGGCGCTTTGGCCTTTTACTATTAAATTTCATATTTATCTTAAAGATGGTTGTTTTTTTTTATCTACGGGGATAGTCATTGGTTTTAATAAATTTTCTTTCTTGAACTTACCTTTTATGGAAAATGTCCTGTGTTCCTTAGTAGCATTTTCTACAGTTTTTCTCAATTGAGCCAACCTATCGCTGGTAATCGTGCATTTGTATTTCGTACTCTCCAAACACGTCTTCGATCTCCTGGTACACCTGTCTACAGTTTCCTGTATTTCGGCCGTTACAGTTTGCAGTTTCGGTGACGAAGGGGCACTGGACACCAACCTATTCAATTTCTCCATCGTTAGTTCATTTTCCTTATTTTTTTCTTCTTTTTCATTGTTTTTTTCCGTTTTTGAATCTTTGCCTCCTAATATCAAGCCAGTTTCTCTCATTTTCTCTAAGATTCTATTGGTTTCCTTATAAGTGTCTCTGGGTAATGGTGGTCGTAGTTTTTCTTCTTTCGACATGTTCGTGAGATCGGTAAAAATATGAATTTATGGGATAGAATAAGTTTGATGTTTTTTTGCTGTCATGTTACTTGGCATGACGTCGTGACGTTGCGTTTGAAGGAAGTACCTGGAAAAAATCAGGTGACAAGGTTGAAAATGAATGTTTTTAGGTCAGTGGCGCTACGCAGTTCCGTACTTTGGGGGTTTATAATCTTAAAAATTAATTTCAAAATGTCACGCGACAGAAAATACTCTTTTGGGGCTTTCAAATCTTCAATCTAAAGCTTCTTTCGATTCCTCAAAATTAGTGGAGCTACTTAGCGTAGAGTTTGTTCCTTGACGTCCTCTTCATTGGATAACATATTATTATATCCAAGAAGATTAATATTTGATCTCAATTCAAATTTTTTGTTTAACTTATTCAAATTATTTCTAGATAAGCCTAACGAATATAAGTATGGGAGAATTTTTTTCAAGATTTTTTGAGAAACCGATATCTGTAACCTGAGCATCCTCAAGGTTTCAGATAATTAAGAGACTATTTACGTCATCCAATCAATACTTACGTAATTATTCTAATTATATCAAGCAATAAGAGGCTAAAATAATGAATTTATAAATTCATCTTAATTAGACTTTGGTATTAATGAATATGCAACTTAATTTTTTTAATTTTTTTTATAAAATAAATATAAATGAATTAAACTTACTTGCAAAATGTAAAACTACTCTACACTAAAGCACTAAAGCGGGGGATGGTGTTCGCCAAGTGATCGACTCGGGCCGATCGTTTTTATGTAAATGCAACAGCGTCTATCGGTTTCGCATATTTGGGCGCGCTATTTAGGCCTCTGTGCCCATCGCATGTCGGTACCAAGGAAATGCAACATTTCCCGACTTATTTCGGCCAGTTCGAGGTCTAAAATAGACGGAAACCGGGTCTCTTGTAGGCCTACTTCCAGTGGTGTATCCCGATTTTATTTCGATGGGGTTGGAACCCAAGAAAAACATTTTTATTATTCAGTTCAAAAAATATATTGTTTAAAATGTTTACAAAACTATGTAATTGTTAAAATAAAAAATCCGTTAAAGTGCGAGTCGGACTCTTAACAAATCTTATGCTAATATATAAAATCCTTAAGTAACTCACAGATTAATCACGATCAATGACTAAAGAATATAAGGACATGTAACGGGCTGCAGCAGAATTTGTGACCTTTTTTTTTGTTTTGGTGGCAAACAATGAGTCATCATTTGGTCACCAGCCACAATTTTAGCGATTTTTAATAGTTTGTGTGTAGTAAACTTTGTATAAACGTTATTACAATGGTGATTAGTTGTTCAGCTTTCAAGTGTAAAAGCAGCAGCGATAAGAAAGAGCCAGGAGTTAAGTTTCATAGGTAAATAAACAGTCCACTCCAACTTTTTAGCGTTTTCTTATTGAATTCGATAATTATTCTTCAATTTCAATTAACATCTATATGTACTTAATATGTGCTATACGTCGATACTAGTTTTGTACCTTTTGTTAACATTTTAATACGTTTTTTTCGTAATTAATTAGGATGATACACCATAGGCGTAGTCAAAACAATTATAAAAAATATAAATATTGCTTCAAACAGCTAGGTTAAGAAAAATATGTGCCACGGCACTGTTTGGTGACAGCGTCACAATTTGCTCTCGGGTGTTATTTGTCCTTGGATTTTTTAGTCATTGATCACGATCCTGCTCAAACCACTCAAAGTAAGAAGCTCAATTTTGGCATACAGGTTGATTCTAAGGTGTAGAGGTTCGATAAGAAGGGATTTTTCGAAATTCGAGTTAGGGGGTGAAACCACCCCTCAAATATTACAATATTTTTTATTTAAAAAACGGTCAAGTGTCCGAAAAAACGCTTAAACAGATTATTTAAGATTTTTAAAAATGTATACAGGGTGTTTCGAAACATCTGGTCATTGATTAATCACGATTCTGCTTAAAGCGCTTCACGTAAAAAGCTGATTTTTGGAAATCGGATTGACTTTAGGGTGTAGAGGTTCGATAAGAAGGGATTTTTCGAGACTCGAATTTTAAGGGGGTGAAACCACCCATCAAATATTAGAATATTTTTTATTTAAAAAACGGTGAGTTTTTCGGAAAAACTCTTAAACACGTATATTTTATTTTGTTGTTTTACATATTTTAAGATTTTTTAAAAATTTATACAGGGTGTTTCATAAAATATGGCCGTTGAGTAATCACGATTCTGCTTAAACTGCTTTACGTTTAAAGCTGATTTTTGGCAAACGGATGGACTGTGGGGTGTAGAGGTTCGACAAGGAGAGGTTTCTCGAATCTCAAATTCCAAGAGGGTGAAAACGCCCCTCAAATATTACAATATTTGTTATTTAAAAAACGGTTAGTCTTTCAGGAAAACGCTTGGACACGCATAATTTATTTTGTTTTTTATATATTTTGAATTTTTTTAAAAAAATCATACAGGCTGTTCCAAAAAGTTGGGTAATTGATTAACCACGATTCTGCTTAAACTGCTTGACGTAAAAAGCTTATTTTTGGCAAATGGATTTTTCGAAAGTCAAATTCCAACGTAAACAAATGTAAACAGAGTGTCTCAAAACTGAATGTTTCGAATTTACAGGACTGTTTAATTTGGTTTAATTTTGATTATCTCAGCATCTACCCTTGTGTCCTTCAAGATCGGCCGCCACTGTCTATTTCAAACAACTAACTGCGCTTGAAATAATCTTATTGTCCTTTATGTCTCTCTTCGGGACCTTCAGGATTTGCTGCCACTGGAAAATAGTTAAACAATGGTTGAATCGAAGTGATTTATGCGACCTTAGATATAATTTAAGGGTTTTCCTGGCCATGTAACTTGCCATTACGGTTTAATTATAAACCCTTTCGATTCAGTTAATTAAAGATGAGATAGTATTGTTCCGTGATAGCAGATAGTACGGAATTGATAAAATTTAATCCCTTTGCTAATTTTAGCGGTTTTTGATTTTAAAGATTATATTTATTTCAATTTTTTTTAAGAAGTGTTATTCAGACACTTCTTTAAATATATGTCCTGTATTTTTTAACGTGTGAATAGTAATAATAAATAAATAATGCTTTATTGTACAAAAAGCCAAAATAGATTCATCGACAAAGCATTTACCAAACAAACAAAAGCACAAAAAATATACAAATAATAAAAAATGTACAATACAAACTTATTAGTATATAGTATAGAGCTATAAAATATTAAATACTATACTTTTAACCAGTGTGTGAGATGATCAAAATTTTAAAATTCAAAATTGTTCATGATTAAACATCAACAAAAAAGTCGTTTGCCGCATATAGGGCTCTCTCCAGTAAGTATGATTTCAGAGCTTTGCGAAATGCGGGAAAGAATGAAAGCGACTTGATATTCAAAGGCAGATGATTGTACATTTTTTTGGCATTGTACAGCATTGAGCCTTTAACTAGTTCTGAGCTCGGGGTTGGCAGTTAAAGATCGTGCTCCGCATTCCTAAGTGGCTAGTTGTGATATGGCCTTTCGGGAATAGTAGATATGTGCTTGCGGATTAAGCAAACGGATTCAAAAATGGATAAAGAAGGAAGAGTCAGTATTTTGAAATTTTTAAAGAAATTCTGGCAGTGAGTTCTAGTGTTCAGTCCCAATAAATATCGAACTGCTCTCTTTTGAAGTATGAAAACACGATCAAATTTTGTTGCGCAGCAAGTACCCCAGAATGGAAGGGCATAACGAAGATGTGACTCAAAAAGGGCACAATAGGCTATTCTAGTGGTTGATACTAGTAGTGGGAACTATCGAATGAATACTATCGAAACATTCGATAGTTGCAATTCATTCGAATAATTCGATAGTTAGTAAGAAAACATTCGTTGAAAACTATTCGAATAAAAATTATCGAATAGATCCGTCATCTGCCTTGAAATATTGTAATCTAGTAATTCGGCAGCAAAAACCATTCATTTATAAAATTCATTCATTTATAAAATTCATTCATTTATAAAATTCATTCATTTATAAAATTCATTCATTTATAAAATTCATTCATTTATGAAATTCATTTATTCGTCAGGATCGATTATAATAAAATATTAACTGAATTTTAGTTGTCGCCCGGCGACGTAGGTTTTTTTTCCGAGAAAGCGGTCGGTGGCAATGCTATGAAAGAAGCCGGCATCTTTGATTTTTTGCGGAGTCATATATAGATAAGGACACATTATTTTTTTTATTGAGGTGCTAGGATTTACACAGAAAATACATTATGAAGGGCGCTGTTGCCATATTTTTGTATTAGTTGATATTAGCAGAGAATATTATTGTTTGGCTTTAGTTAGTTAGGGATAGTATGTCTATATATTCTGCATTTTTTTATTAATATTCTGTTGTTACACTGCAATAATACTTGTTATTTTGGATGTAGGAAAATTATTTTTAATGTTTTTAAGCAAGACTGGTTTAATAAATAATAATAACAGTAATAATTTGTTATACCTATTAACAACAAAATTTAAAATCATTTAATATAAATATTTTTTTTAAGTAGTAGCAAGATATAAACAACAAATTAGATGTCAAAATTATTTATATTAGATCCTATTTAAAAATAATATAGTCTCTAATTTTTTTGGCAACGTTGGTTTATTAAATAATAATAATTACAGAACTAATTTGTTATATTAACAACAAATTTTAAAATCATGAAATATAAACATTTATTAATTTTCTAAGCAAGCGGTGTAATGGAAGGAAAATATAAATAAAAATTAGAAATCAAAATTATTTATATTAGGTGCTTTATATTACTATTTAAAAATTATATTTACTTTTACTGGCATTTACTTTAAAAAATAAATGAAATATTTCTTCGCAAAAACTACATGTAAGAGAATTAGCATAAACAAAATACAAACATCGTTAACTTTTTTTTTAAATTGGCACGTGTAAAACTTTCATTTTAATTTTCTCACCCCATAGTTTGAGTTCGATAACCATTTACTTAACCACATTACTTTAATATGATTATTAAGTTCAACTAATTCATATTATTAAAACATCTAAAATACAAATATGTACTTTTAAAATTAATTTAAGTTCATCTCATCTCTCTTAAAAATTGCTACTTCTCAAAATTTCCCATTAAAAAATAGACCATATACCATATAAAATTAAATAATTGAAAGATCGGACTACGGAAAACCACACAACTTTTCGGAAAAATTTTGACCACCTGCACATGCACACAATCGTCAATAAATAAAATTAAAAAATAACTACTATTTTAGTATTTTAACTATTTTAGTAAACGCAAAAATAGCACAGTATTTATACGGTGAAGTTATAAAAATTTGGAAGAACTAATAATGCACTGACGCATACAAAAATCAAACGAATACTAAATTTCATTTATCAAAAGCATTCGATAGTCGTGGCTCAACGATAACCATTTAGTCGCACGGCGAGGTTGTCACATATGCTTTAGTTTACAAATGAATGAATGATTTTATTCGAATAAAACCATTCGATAGTTGAAATCATTCATTCATTAACCATTCGATAGTCTAATTCATTCGATAGTTCCCATCGCTAGTTGATACGTTAAGTTCCTTAGAAACTGATCTTAGCGCAAAACAGGAAGCGCTTAGTTTCTTTGATAAAGCTTGCAAGTCCTATTTTAAAGAGTTGTCTACAAGTCCTAAGAATTTCACAGAGTCCACGACGCGACGTCAATAGTGGTGTTATTAAGTAC